GGACTGGTGCAGAGTTCCTCCTGTTCCTCTTTAATCTCTGGAGGATCTGGGTCCTCTTGGTCCAGACTGGGCTTCCTCTCCTGGAGACAGAGCTGCTGGTCAGAGAGAAGCTCCTCCTCCTTACAGACACGTGACTGTGGGAGCTCTGGAGGGACAAAAGGAATAGAAGACAAACGTTTGAGCGTATAAATACAACGAGTGTTTATAAACCATAAACATCACGTGTCCTACTGTTCTATTAGTAAGTTAAAGAACACGTTGGTTTGAAAAAAAACTTGAATAATGTCTCGTCTTTATTGCTTTAGACAAGAGTTTTTTTTTTTTTTTTTAACAAAGTTGTTCTCACCTATCCTGTGTAACCTCACTTCGGGTTTCCATAAAACATCCAACAGTCTGCGCTGCCGGTCGATCTCTTCCTGGTACTCGACGACGGTTCTTTTAAAAACTCCGAATATTTCTTCAGCAGCAGCAGATAGTCGCTCATTGACAAACTCTCTCAAATTCTCAACTGAAGACATTGTAGCTTAATTACCGATTAAATCTGCACCGCCAAGACGAAGCAAGGGCTAGGTGTCACATCTTTAAAGTTCCGACTGCAGACCTCAGTCACATTAAGGTTCCGTTTCTTACTATGATCGCCGATCAGCGGCCTTTTTCTTCCTCTATTAATTGGATTGCCGGGTCGCAACCAACATGAAATGATGCATACCGCCACCTACTGTACTGGAGTGTGTAGTTTGAGTAGCAGTTTCATTACACAGTGCAATTACGTGATTTTTTCCCCCATTAAATACAGCTTTAAGACAATTTTTCTATTGTATTACCCTTCTGGGTAAAGATAATACAATTTAATGGGAAAGTGAACACTCCCCGGCAGTCTAGGCCTAAAGCAGCTTAACTAAGGGCTGGTCCGGGCAAACCTGAGCCAGCTGTAACTGTAAGCGACATCAAAGAGGACAGTTTTAAGCTTCATCTTAAAAGAGCTGACCAAATCTGCCCCCCAGACTGAAAGTGGATGCTGCTTCCACAAAAGAGAAGCTTGATCACTGAAGGCTCTGACTCTCATCGTGCTTTTTAAGACCCTAGGAACAACAAGTAACCCAGCATCTATGGAGCGCAGCTGCCTTGTAGGGCAATACGGCATTACGAGTTCTTTAAGATAAGACGGTGCCTCACCAACAAGTGCCTTGTAGGTGAGGAGAAGTACCTGAAATGATATTCTTGATTTAACAGGGAGCCAATGCAGAGAAGTTAATACAGGAGTAATATGTTCCCTTTTCTTAGTTCTTGTTAATATACATGCTGCAGCCTTCTGAATCAACTGGAGAGGCTTAAGAGATTTACAAGAGCACCCTGGTAACAAAGAATTACAGTAATCCAGTCTAGAAGTAACAAACGCAAGAACTAATCTTCCTGCATCACTTTGAGACAGGAAGTTGCTGTATTTTGATATATTATGTAGATTAAAAAAGGCAGTCCTTGAAGTCTTTTTATGTGCGTTGAAGGACGTATCCTGGTCGAAGAAAACTTCAAGATTCTTGATGGTGCTGCTGGATACAAGAGCATTGAAAGTCTTTCAATGCTGCTGAAATCTTTCTGTACCCTTCGCCAGATCTGTGGCTCAATACAATTCTGTCTCGGAGGTCTACAGATAATTCCTTGGACTTCACGGCTTGGTTTATCCTCTGATCAGGAATCAGGAAACATTTATTACCAAAATATGCCAAACATACAAGGAATTTGTCTTGGCGGTTGGTGCGCGACAGTAGACAGACAAGACAGCAGTGCACAAGTAATAAAATAAAGTAAAATGAAATGCTAATGCAATGGGTTAGTAGAATAAGGCTATGGGTTAGGATAAAACAAGGCAATAAAGTTAAACATTTTAAATATTAAAAAAGTTGCACCAACGAACAAGTAACAAAGTGACGAGTGACGACAAAGTATGTATAGGATATGCACTGTCAACCGTGATACCTTATAGACGGGTGTGTGCCTTTCTCAATCATGTCCAATCAACTGAATTCAGCACAGGTGGACTCCAATCAAGTTGTAGAAACATTTTAAGGATGATCAGTGGAAACAGGATGCACCTGAGCTACATTTTGAGCGTCACGGCAAAGGCTGTGAATCCTTATGTACATGTTATGTTTGTTCGTTCTTTATTTTTAGAAGATTTGCAGGTTGTTGGTAAATGGTAAATGGACTGTACTTGTATAGCGCTTTTCTAGTCTTCCAACCACTCAAAGCGCTTTAACACTACATGACATCATTCACCCATTCACACCCATTCATACACTGATGACAGGAGAACCATACACAGTGACACCTGCCATCAGTAACTACCATTCATACACTGTAGTCGGAGCTACAGGAGCAATGTTGGGTTAAGTGTCTTGCCCAAGGACACAACGACATGCAGGTTAGCCGGGCCTGGGATCGAACCCACAACCCTCTGATTGGAGGACGACCGTGCTCCCCACTCACCCAGTTGTGTGTAGAATGTTGAGGGAAATAATGAATTTAATCCATTTTGTAATAAGGCTGTAACATAACAAAATGTGGAAAAAGTGAAGCGCAGTAAATACTTTTTGGATGCACTGTATATCAGTATTTTATAGAATACATTTTACACACGTATCTTGTTTAACTGCAAGTTGGGTTTCCAAATATTATCCCACAATCAACCAGGTATTTGGTTGATGTCTTCCACGTACTACACAATAGTTTTCATTTTAGCCCAAATAGTTTTACTCTGTATATGAATATACCTCTGAACTTTTTCATAAGTGGAAAATGTTTGATTGGGAGGTCGATCTTTTTCTTTTGACTTTTTTCTAAAACTGCTTTCCACAAAAAAACTCAGGCAGGATGAAATCATGAGTGAACATCATTTGAGGGTTTATCAGTTTAAGAGATCCATCATTTTTATTGCAGGACCTTTCGTAGATTGACAATTAATTTGTCAGATAGACAAATATATATTTCAAAACATTTGCAAGATATGTTCCCTAAATCTGCAACAAAGATTTGGGGGATGACAAAAAATGATATACATTTAATGACTGGTTATTACATTACATATCATTTAGCTGATGAAAATCAGGAATCAGGAAACATTTATTGCCAAAATATGTCATAAATATAAGGAATTTGACTTGGCGGTTGGTGCGTGACAGTAGACAGTATAACAATAGACAACAAGACAGCAGTGCACGAGTAATAAAGTAAAATAACATGCTAATGCTATGGGTTAGTTTAAAAAAGACAAAGTTTAATAAAAAAAATAAAAAAAATAAAGTGCACTAGCGAACAAGTGACAAAAGACTTTTCTCTCAAATGCAGCATTTATGTTCCGTTCTTATAGAAGGCTTCAACGCCTTTTTAAATCTTAATTGCTCCAAATATTTACTTTAAGACGTCTCCCCCTTGTGGGTTCTTATATGACGCTTCAATACTGCTGTCCAAGTGAATGTTTTCTCTCAGGTGCTACAAGAATATGGCTTCTTCCGACTATGAATTCTTAAATGATACTTCAAATTTGATGGCCGAGAGAATGTTTTCCCACAGGTGCTACAAGAATATGGCTTCTCCCCACTGTGGATTCTAATATGACGCTTCAACACTGTTGTCCAAGTGAATGTTTTCCCACAAGTGTTGCAAGAATACGGCCTTTCCCCTGTGTGGGTTGATGTATGACACTTCAATTGTGATTTCTGAGTGAATGTTTTCCCGCAGGTGATGCAGGAAAATGGCTTCTCCCCACTATGAATTCTTATATGAGCCTTTAAATGTGATGACTGAGTGAATGTTTTCCCACAAGTGATGCAGGAATATGGCTTCTCCCCACTATGAATTCTTAAATGATACTTCAAAGATGATGGCCGAGAGAACGTTTTCCCACAGGTGGTGCAGGAATACGGCCTTTCCCCAGTGTGAACTTTCATGTGGGCTTTTAAATCACTATTATATCTGAATTCTTTTCCACATAGTTCACAAGAAAAGGGTTTCTCATCACTATGGGAGTCTTTTATGGGCCTTGAGTACGGATTTATGATGATCTTTTCCCACAGGTGTGGCATACATATGGTTGATCACTCTGTGGGTTCTTCTCTCGTGGGCCAACAAGCTATTTCTATTTTGAAAGTATTTCCCACAATCTCTGCACAAAAACGGCTTCTCACCCGGAGAAGCTGGTTCCTTGTTTGATGTTAAACTAAGTTTTACTCCTTTCTGATCTCGGCCCATCAGATTCATGAGGATTGTGAGAGAGAAGCTGGTGGTCATTGTTTAGTTCAACTACAGCGGTGCTTTCAACTGAAATGTATTCTAGAGATGTTTCCTGTACCACACTCTCAGTTTCATCAGCACACGAGGCCAGAAGTTGATCTTCACCGTGGCCTCTTTCCTCACAAGTAGGAGTCAACGTAAAGGCCTCCTGCTTCGGTTCAAGCTGCTCTCCCTCTGGACTGGTGCAGAGTTCGTCCTGTTCCTCTTTAATCTCTGGAGGATCTGGGTCCTCTTGGTCCAGACTGGGCTTCCTCTCCTGCAGACAGAGCTGCTGCTCAGAGAGAAGCTCCTCCTCCTTACAGACACGTGACTGTGGGAGCTCTGGAGGGACAAAAGGAATAGAAGACAAACGGTTGAGCGTATAAATACAACGAGTGTTTATAAACCATAAACATCACGTGTCCTACTGTTCTATTAGTAAGTTAAAGAACACGTTGGTTTGAAAAACCTCGTCTTTATTGCTTTAGACAACAGAGTTTTCTTTAACAAAGTTGTTCTCACCTATCCTGTGTAACCTCACTTCGGGTTTCCATAAAACATCCAACAGTCTGCGCTGCCGGTCGATCTCTTCCTGGTACTCGACGACGGTACTTCTAAAAACTCCGAATATTTCTTCAGCAGCAGCAGATAGTCGCTCGTTGACAAACTCTCTCAAATTCTCAACTGAAGACATTGTTGCTTAATTACCGATTAAATGAATTATCTGCACCGCCACAAGACGAAGCAACGGCTGGGTGTCACAACTTTAAAGTTCCGACTGCAGACCTCAGTCACATTAAGGTTCCGCTTCTTACTATGATCGCCGGTCAGCTGCCTTTTTCTTCCTCTATTAATTGGATTAGCGGGTCGCAACCAACTTGAATAGATGCATACCGCCACCTACTGTACAGGAGTGTGGACTTTGAGCGTTAAATCAACATTGTTAGCTGGTTATTGTTGTGTTCTTCCAAGGAGAAAGATTTCCCCACATTGGGACCACACTGTAACGCCTTTAAACTGTATTCTTTGGCTGCTGTACTGATAGTCCAACCAGGAATCAGGAATCAGGAAACATTTATTTACCAAAATATGGCAAACATACAAGGAATTTGTCTTGGCGGTTAGTGCGTGACAGTAGACAGACAAGACAGCAGTGCACAAGTAATAAAATAGAGTAAAATGAAATGCTAATTTAATGGGTTAGTAGAATAAGGCTATGGGTTAGTATAAAACAAGGGAATAAAGTTAAAAATTTTAAATATTAAAAAAGTTAAAAAGAAAAATATTAAGCATAAAGTGCACTAACGAACAAGTAACAAACAAGTAAAGTGACGAGTGACGACAAAGTGATGAATTGCAGTTAAAGTGGCATGTGCAGTGGGAAGGGGAGAGACCGGTGGAGTGTTATAGTCAGGCAGTGGGGGACCGGGCTCTGTTGATGAGCCCGACTGCCGACGGGAAGAAACTTTTCTTGTGGCGGGAGGTCTTAGTCCTGATGGACCTCAGCCTCCTGCCAGATGGAAGGGGCACAAACAGTTTTTGTCCGGGGTTGGAGGGGTCGGCCATCCAACCAGAAGTGCAAAAAAGCAAAAAGTGCAGAGTATGTGCATATGTAAAGTGTAATAAGTAAATAGATATGTACAGTAAGAAATATATATGTAAATACATTATATATATGTAAATACATTATATATATGTATTTATATATGTATAATTAATGTCAATCTGTATAAAAACATAAACATGTTAAACATTTGGAGGATACGTTCACTTAATCTGCAACAAAGATTTGGGGGATTACGGTAAAGTAACTTAATTTGGAAGTATTCATGACAATTGAGCGCTCATCCAGTCGGGTTTCGGCTGGATGGTTATGCCTGTCAGAAGAGATTACTGAAAAGATGTTTCTTTCAAATGCAGCATTTGTGTTGTGTCCTTATAGAAAGCTTCAAAGCCTTTTCAATCTTAAAAATTGCTCAGACTATTTCCTCACAGGAGTTGCATCTAGGACGTTTCACCCTTCTTCTCAAGTGGACAATTAGACAGTTCAAAGAAACAAGAAACCGCTTTTTTGATGTGCACACATGACATAATGATGTAAAGATTGAACACATAGTTTTGATCATTTAAATTTTAATCTGAGAAATGTAATAAAGCAACGGAGAAAAACTAAGTTACTAGAATTTTTGAAACCTCTTTCATATATTTTTACAGGAATATGACGTCTCCCCATTTTGAATTCTTATGAGACTGCAAATGTGTGAGTGAATGTATTGCAAGAATAGGGCCTTTCCCCAGTGTGGATTCTTGTATGAAACTTCAGTAGTGATTTCTGCGTGAATGCTTTTAGGAATGTGGCTTCTCCCCAGTGTGGATTCTTACATGACGCGTCAAATGTGATGTCTCAGTGAATGTTTTCCCGCAGGTGATGCAGGAATATGGCTTCTCCCCACTATGAATTCTTATATGAGCCTTTAAATGTGATGACTGAGTGAATGTTTTCCCACAAGTGATGCAGGAATATGGCTTCTCCCCACTGTGAATTCTTGTATGAGAATTCAAATTTGTTGTCTTAGTGAATGTTTTCCCACAGGTGAGGCAGGAATACGGCCTTTCCCCACTGTGAACTTTCATGTGGGCTTTTAAGCTATAACTACATTTGAAATCTTTTCCACATGGTTCACAAGAAAAGGGTTTCTTATCACAATGGACTCGTTTATGGGCCTTGAGTACTGATTCATGAGAGAATCTTTTCCCACAGGTGTTGCATACATATGGTTGATCAACTCTGTGGGTTCTTCTCATGTGGCCCAACAAGCTATTTCTATGTTGAAAGTATTTCCCACAATCTCTGCACAAAAATGGCTTCTCACCCAAAGGACCTGGTTCCTTGTTTGATGTTAAACTAAGTTTTACTCCTTTCTGATCTCGGTCATCAGATTCATGAGGATTGTGAGAGAGAAGCTGGTGGTCATTGTTTAGTTCAACTACAGCGGTGCTTTCAACTGAAATGTCTTCTCGATCAGTTTTCCTGTACCACACTCTCAGTTTC